TGTTATCATGACCTTGGAAGAAAGTCTTGATGTTTGGTGATTTTATTAGAAATAAGAAAAATTCTTGATGGTGTTTCAAATGTCTTATTTGAAGGAAGTTATAAAGGCCTTAATAACAATCAAATAACAAGGTGGTCCTCTTGCCTTAGTATGAAGCACTATGAATGGCTGAGATGACCTATCAACCATCTTCGAAGAGAACAAAGATCAGAATATGTAGCAAACATAATTCATTGCATCTTAGATTTCTTCAACATATAAAGATTACTCCTCATCAAACTCATCTCTAGAAGAGAGGATAATAGCATAGATATATATAGATATTCTAGTAAATACTTATTTGATTAAGTAGAAATAGGTAAAAAAAATAAAAATAGATTATTTTCATAAGATCTTTTAGAGAAGCTTCATAAAAGCTTCATAGATATTATTTTGACTTTACATGTATCTGTAATTTATTAATAGGTTAAAAACTTAGTCAATAAATTAATCAAGTGATAATATCTTATAGAAAAAGCTGACTATATAGCGCACATATAAAAAACTTACTTTGCAAGTTAAAATACATGTCTTGCAAAGTCAACATGTTTTGGAGATTTTATAAGACATTACCTCATAACTCTTAGTTAAGAGTATATATGGAGGCAAAAGTGAAGCCTTCTTCCTTCTTGTCAATACCTTTCTAGTCCTTAGTCTTATTTTAGGACTTTTTAATCTTTTTGTTTTCGGCAATAGTCATTCTAGTTTAATATTATATCACCTTTTGAATAACTTTTTAATTCTCTTCACTAACACAAGAGTGTATTGAGGATTTTCTTTCTTCGAGATTCATGTCCTTAATAATGAAACTTTTATATAAGTATTTGTATCAAAAAAACTATAGAAATATACAATTATCACATCCATGACACATATTTCAAGGACAACATGGACTTCCATTCCAATAATATATCAAAATATAATTGAATCCATAACTATAAAATGTATAGATTCATAATCAATGCCAAATTGTTGGATAAATCTTTCAACAATAAAACAAGCTTTATAGCAGATTATTTACATTTTAGCATCTTGCTTGCATATTAATATTATCTTATATCCCAAAAAATAATATTTAAGAGTGTCCACAATTGGACCAAAGACTTTCTACTTACATAAAGAAATATATTCTTTTTTAATGGCATTTTTTTATATTAACAAGTCAGAGCTATACATTGTTTCTTCAATGGTTTGAGATTCAAGATCCTCTTCCTTGTAAAAAAGAACTTCTGTAATCATGCATGCAAATGATTTATTTATTGTAATAGATAGTCTATCTCAAATGTCATTTATAATATAATATAGAATAGATAATTTTATATTTAATTTGATTTTATTCCTCTTAATATGAAGATTTTTTATTGCATGAGGTGAAGATATAATTTACATGGACATATTATTATTAATTGATAGTTCCGTAGGTTTAATAGGAATTTTTACAAAAATAATATCAAAATTAGCACATGTTATAGCCTTCTTTTTATGTAGTTGCTTATTTGGTCCACAAGTCTTTTTAGTTTTTGATGTTATAACCTAAGATATATTAATTAGTGATATTGCAATCTAAGAAGGTGCATTTTGAGCATCATTAATAGAAATTCTTGTAATCTAAAGAAAATCATTAAAACCATCAAGTGTTTCATTTGCAATCCATTTTAGATACAAAATCGTGGCAACTTCAGTTTCAAACAAAGATGTTTTAGAATCAAGATTCATTATAAATATTTTTCATGCTCCAAATATAAATATTATATTTTTTTATTGATTAAATATTATTTTTTGAATAAATAGGAATATATTCTCTTGAAAATGAAAATTTTTAAAATGTTTACATAATAATATGTTAGTTGATGGATCAACAATATGAATAATGCTTGGTGAATCAAAACTAACATATATGCATTTTTGTCAATAATCTCTAATGGTGTGCCATTGAAGTTCTAATACTAAAATCCAAGTACAACAATCAAATATTTGTAGGTGAGATATATTAGGAATATGACTTGAAATGAACTCTTATGGTATATTAATTTCAAGAAAAGAATGATAGATGTATATTAATACTACAGCATGCAAAAATACATGATCCTACATAGATGCATATAAATTTGCTCAAAAGAGTGGTTAGATTATAAATTGTATATGCTTTATAAATGACTCTGCAAGTCCATTTTGAGCATGTTCATATAGAATACAATATGTCAACTCAATTCTTGTTACAATACAATATTCTTTAAAAGATTTTAATAAAAATTCTTTTGTGTTGTCCATATACAATGTTTTGATAGGATAATCAAGAAAATATGCTTGGAAATAAATAAGCATAGATATTAGATTGAAAAATACCATGTTTTAAATTGATAATAATGAAATATGTGATTTTTTGCTTCATGCATCAATAAGGACCAAAAAATAACAAAATAATCTAGATATTGGATAAATAGGACCACAAATATGTTCATGCAATCTTTTAAGTATTAGTGGTAATTTTTATAGGAGTTTTTAAATTGAAGGCCAAATAATTATCTTGCCTTATAGACATGCATGACATAATTCTATAGAATCTACATCTTGAAGTTTTAAATTATGTCGAATTATATATGGAATTATCTTTTAAAATAATATGGATCTTAAATGTTCCAATTGTCCATACTAAAGAGAAATGTGAATCTTTGTAATAGATGATGCAAAATTAAATATAATAGAAAGCCGGATTGCAATCTGGTATAAACCATTTGTTGCAACAAAGACTTTTTCAACAATTTTATAGTTCTGTGCAAGAACCAAAACCTCTCGCCTATTTAAAATGGCAATTGAAAGATGATAACCATTAGCACACACATCTTGGTAGCTAATCAGACTTTGAGGTATTAAAGGCATAAAAATTGCATGTTTATACTTTATAATGGAGCTTGCAAATAATTTTACTATTGTTGTTCTTTTTTGGATATAAAACACATTTACTCTAGCTATGGACATCAAATTTCTAGTTTGTTAAGTTGAGGACTATTATCTATCCCACAAGATAATATGTGTTGTTACAAAATCAATGAGCGCATCATTTGACTCATCATTAGAGGTTTTGTTATGTATGTAAGCCCCTAAAATATCAATATCAATTGAGTCCATAGACGCATCCATGATATGAACTTCATGAGCCTCAATTTGAAGTTTCTTATTTTTTTAGAAAATTTTAACAAAATATTTTGAAGTATGGCATATATGTGTTAAATATCCAATCATACCATATTTATAGCAAGAATGCATCGTTATTTTTTTTCTAATTTAATTAGTAATGGAACGTTTATTCTTTCTATATGGACAAAAATGGTCATGACCATGACTGCTTTGGTACTTATGAGCACCTTTTCTATGTTTGTATAATTTTTTCTTAGACTTTGAAATATTAAGTGCATGAGATTCAAGAACTGTGGTTCTAATAGAATGAGCTTTTCCATTATACAAAAGTAGCTCTTTTTGTTTTTCCATAAGAAATAGATAAGACATGAGATTAGAATGACTTTGAAATTTCATATTCTTTTATTGTTGTATAAGCATAGTACATACAAGAAGAAATGTAGAGAGAGTTTTTTCAATCATTTCTACTTTAGAGATGCTTTATCCATACAACCATAGTTGAAAGACAATAAAATATATTTCACTATTGAAAGTATTTAAATTTTAAAAATTCAAGATGCATAAATGTGTCCAATCTCAATGTGCATGTGGAAAGAAAATGGTCATTTTATGATCAAACCTAAATTTAAGATTCTCCCAAAGTTTGCCTAGATCTTCCATTTTTAAATATTGATATTGTAATGTAAATACAAGATGACAATGAAAGAGAAGAAGTGCTTTCCAATAGATAGTAAGAAGAATAGAAGTACTTACAGCAAGAGATTCTTCAAATAGAATTGCATCTGAGAGGTTTTTTTACAAATAAATTTGCTTTTGTCATTTTTTTCTGTAACAGATAATTATTTCCATCAGCATCTAATGGTAGAAATAGAAGAGTCTGAAAATATTGGGATGTAGTGGTGATAGTTGGAAACATAGTAAAGGCAGTTGAGAATGTTGAAGCATTTATTATAAATAAATTTGTAAAAAAAAAATATAAGATCAAGTAGAAAAGATTGAATAAAATGCACCTTGAAATGTAAAGTCAAATAAAATAATAAAATTCAACTTGAAAACAAAATATTAAAAAAATTGAGAAGATTTTTTTTTTTTTTTTTTTCCAAAAACAAGGATCTGCAATGGATTGCAGCAAGAGCAACAAACGGTGGACAGAGACAATAACAGCAATAATGACAATGGACAATGATGGTAGCAATGATAACAACAAAGATGGCAATTGCAAATGATAGTTTGGCGGTAAGGTTGTGAAGGTAGGCAGGAGCAAGCAGCAAGTAAGTAGGCAAGTAGCAAGCAAGTAATAGCAAGTAAATAGACAAGTAGCAAGCAAGTAGTATGCAGCAAGCAGGCAAGGCAATGTAGTGTAGGGAAAAAAAATGAGGGGAAGATGAAGGGCAAGGTATACACAAGTCTTTAAGAACCAAGAGTAATGCACGAGAGCAGTCATGCTGATAATGTATTGAGAATGTTTTAGAAATAGATACAAGAATAGCTAGAAATAATATGCACATACACACATACACAAGAAAGTATATAGAAGGAAAAAGAGCTTCTAAACAAAACTATGTATTGATGTGGTTGTATCACTTATATACAAAGAGAAGGAAGAGAAGATAAGCAGCTTCTCTCCACTACATTCTAAACACTATATCTACAATATTTACTATAAATATAGTAAATGTTATGGAGAGCACAGGCTACATTTAATGCTCTCAACAAAAACAAAGACAAAGCAAAAAGTCACTCTTTGAGTGAGTAAAGCAATTGACCACTCCTACCTAGAGCTCAGAGATGATTACGCTGGCCTACATTGAGCTGTGCTTCAATTTGGTGGAATTTTTCGAAGCAAAATGCTGCTCTCGAAGATTTTCTTGGCCAAAATAGTTACCATGAAGTAGAAAATCACTACAATTATTCCTCCTATTACCAGGGTGTTTCACAGCACAAGTCGTTAACCTTAACCTTAATGCTTTGGTCCCAGAACTTCTAAACCTACATTCTCGCCAACTGTAGAATGTGAAACTATTACTAGGGCTACGAACAATAATCCCAACTTAAAAAATTCCTTTCGCTTCTGCAGCTGCCAGTGAGCACTAAGACGGGACACAGGAACAGTGACAACAGAATCGAAATCTACAGTACAAAACCTAAAGATCCTGAAGACTGGGTGCTGGATACCAAATCCATTTCAAACAAATCTCATCCGCTGCATCACACTCGGAACTGATTTTGTAAGTCAGGAATCATCCTCGCTTTTCTCTATCCAAAAGCAGAGTGAAGTTGGATGATATTCTTGACCGAAATTTGAGCAACGATTCCAAAACATGGCTGTTTGCTCCGAGATTCAGCTTTTTCATCACGTGCTGCCTACTTATACATTAACGATGCTCTAGGGTTTGACTCGAGTCATTCATCACATGCATGTTGTGAATGATTCATGCTCCAGTCAATTGCATGCAATTATGCTCTGAATAAACGCCATATTCCCTACGACTGAGTTAGACACCTATCTCTTACATTGTGCCTTAGTATCTTTTTCACAACCAGCCTCCTAACGGCCTCTTGGTATCATCCTTTTACTGTTGAGTTCCAGTGGCACTGCATTGATGAGTCATTCCCTTGGTGGACAAGGGATAATCCAGTTTTTCGGGTTTGTGTTGAAGAACCCCACGAGTATTGGCGAGGACACGAAACTGCTTTCCAGACAACATTCCGACTTAAAATCCTGTACAGAGGGCACACATCTAGGTTCACTCCGCGACTTCATATGTGTGATTCGTCAAAAATCGCAAAAAATAAACCCGTGTAGAGACAGGAAAAAGATCAACAGCAAGTGAATAAATGAGGATGCTCACGTGTCTTGCAACCATGAATCATCCAGTAGCAAATTGTTACTTTGACCATCTATGCTGAGATCATAACGTTCTGAAAATCTTGGCAAGCCAGGTCCCGTGGGGGAAAGATTCAACAGCTCATGATCAAGTTGAAGTTCCTGTCCCCCTCCCTGCCCTGCAACGCCACCACCTGAACCCATGCCGGAGGTCTCAACTGATAGGCCACTGTCAAAGTTGGAAGGCAATGAAACCCCCAAGTCTTCTAACATAAAATCTGCTTCATTTGCTTCCACCATTGGCGTTGGCAGCGGAGCCGGAGCCGGAGCCGGAGTCGAAGTGTGGTCCAACTTGTCTTCGAATTCACCCACCTTGTTTGAGTTCTCAGGTTTGTCAAGGGTACCAAGCCCAGAGCTTGTAGCTCCTGAAGGCCCAGCACCGCCTGACGCTCGGTTTTCCACTGAAGGTTGAGATTGAGGCTTAGGGGAGTTTTGAAACTTTGTTTCTACCGGTTTGTCAGGTTTCTTGTACTTAATCTTGACAGCGCCTGTCCGAGTACCAGGAGCAAATTTCTCTCTCTCCACTTTCGTCCTCTTCCTTTGCACTTTTTCCAGCGAGTCTTTCCGAGATATATCCTCTCCTTTCCGTTGTCTGATAAGGGAACAAAATAATTATTGTAATCCATGACGGAGGAGGATAGTTGACCAGTTATATGTACACCTTTAAATGAATACCACATTTGACATTACCCAGCGAGATAATTGTCCTACTCATGATCCACTGAACCTAACAAATCATGTAACAAGCAATCTTGAAAAGTCGACATAAGCAAACTCCAATCACGAGAACATAGTACAGATATCATACCTTTCACGAATAATGGCGAAAGCTTCCTTAGTGGCATATGGAAAACCTGACTTGGGATCTCGGTACCTTCAAGTCCAAACAAGAAGATTATTTCAGAAATCGTGATTCACTCCTGAGGTCGGCCAGAAAAGAGACGAGTCTGTTAAAGCTCTTCCGTCTGCACATGTCTGAACTATAATGCAGTCCAGAGCCATTCCATGCTGGGCGAGAGAAGACTGTAGACTATTCACTCAAGAAACACTCATGCATATTGCAAACTTGACAAAGATCTACTTTCTTCTTTGCAATGAAATATCATGGATAAGTGGTTGTGACTAAACGAATATAACATTTCCTCTTGGTTCATGTACCCTGTAGTAATGTGCAGGAAGATAAAGAGCCAACTAAGGCAATGCAAATATACTGAAGTCCTCAGAGCAATTGTATCAAAAGGTGAAAGAGAGAGTAGACATACTTAGCAAGTAGCCCAGTCACAACACAGACAGGCTGCTTTGGATCTGCACATCACATTCCAGATGTACCAAGGAGAATCAGAAAAGATGATGAAAATATCAGAGAGGAAGATGCCACAAAGACCAAAATAATTGTCACATGCGTACTTCTGAAAGTGAACGTACAAGGAGGCGCCTTGGCATTTATAACCTCTGGTACTTCGGGCATTTTTACGAATTCCAAGACATTAATACCTGCTATCACAGCAAACCCCACAGATAGCAGACTTTAAGAACATCGTGTACATTACGTCATAAATGTATGTACACGAAATTCACACATCAACTTGAGCAACCTTGGATCTAATTCCTGCCGAACTTTCGAAACATAGGAAATGAACGTACACAGAACATTCATATATCAAGTGGAAATTTTGTGTATCCAACCTTAATCCCAAACTACAAAGAAACATGGCTTCTTATCATCGGATGCAGAAAAATCTACATCCCCTAATGAGCTGGGCGGCTGGTGAATCAATACAAATCCTTGCGTGAATAAGGTCTGCGTTAGATGCAATACTCTGTGACATCGACTTCGATAGGCAACCGTAAAGTAATGATTATTGTGTGCCCTAAAAGTCAGAGTTCATACGCGAAAAATGAATCTATGTGCTTTTGATTTTTCAGGAGGACGTACAAATGCATACCTTCTTTGGAATAAAATCTAATAAGAGGTCCACTGTACACCTCCTTATTAATTATTGCCTTCCGCTTGACCTCCTCTTCTCGAGCCAACAATGTCTCCAAAGACTGCCGATTTTGAATTTCTACGAAGCCAGATTCCAAAACATGATTAGTAAATACACCAAAACGAATGCTACTTGTAAATACAGGAACGTAATTGGTGAAATCGTACTATGCAATAAAATAAATAGACAAACAACAAAAATCTTGTAGAATACAGAAGTTGATTAAAGAACGACTGAAAGAAGAGGGCATCTAAAAACGATACAACATCTTCGCATGCAATAAAAGTACAAGTAAAATGGTGTATCCGGACCTGAAAACTATCCGCGAATAAATAATAGTCAACCAGACCCAAGAGCATACTAAGTGCATTTTTGCAGTTCTGTGCCATTTTCCAAGTAATAGCTTGTAAAGAGAAGAAACCTTACTTACCGGTCTGTGCAGCTTCTAGAAGCATCTCTTCCTGCGTCATTTTCCTATCTTCACCTTCCCTTTTTTTCTTCACTATCTGCATACATCACATCTATTTGTCAAGAGCCTCATCATAACGTAACATTAACCAATGCCACTCAACAATTACGAAGGCAACGTGGAACAACTGGTAATAATGATATACAGACTCTAATAAGCACACCCTCTTCGACCAAACAGCCTAAATGATTTCCTTTTGTTCCTTTTTATAAGGGAAAAGTATGTCTAAATCATGTCAGAAATAACTTGAACTTAAAACATACCAGCCGACTGACGCTGAAAAGCAACTAGAATAGAAGTTCAGCTCTACGGCTGAAGCTGTTGAAGACCTTTCATAACAAGGGTGCCCAAGTAGTATACCTTCGGGAGTGCCTGTTGTATTGCACGTTGCGCCTCCCTTTCGGCTTGCCTTACAATCACGGAAGTTCGGGTAGACTTCCGCAAGAGCTTTTCGCCCTCTTCAGTTTCACCATCTTCCTTCTCGGGACTCGGGCGAGTTGCCTGTCGAGGGGTTTTCAAAGTAGGGAGGGGAGTTTCTCCTGCATCGGCTGCTGCTGCAGCTTCTTCCAGAAATGATACACCTTTCTTCTTAGTACTTCCTGAAGGGCCTTTCTTGAGCGGCTTCTTACCACCAGGAGGTAAGATTTGTTTTTTCTTAGGACGCCTGGCCGATGTAAGGATCCTCATCAGCGTGTTACAGAAGCAATTTCAGGTAGGTCGTGGCTACACCCTATAGAGTATCTTGCACTTATGCGCTGGATTTTAAATAAATCAAAACACAGATTTGAAAAACACTACCATATAAGTTAATCAGAATCAAGTCAGAACAATCAACTCATTTACACAGTATGGAATAAGCCATGTGAGGAACCTTTCTTTCTCCTCAACCTCTTCATCGCCAGATTCGTCTTCCTGCAGGAAAAAAGCCAACATTTATGAATCTCCTAAAAGAACTGAATCCAGCTAATACATTCGAAGCCATTGAAGTATATTTCCAAAGCCATATGCGAAGCACATATTTGTGTTGTTTACAAACTCACACCTAAAAATTACATACGATTGCTCCCAAAATTCAAATGGGCTGGTGCACCAACAAAACAAACTGTCATGCGGCACCTTGGAACGAAACCAGACCTACAATTACAGTAAATAGCAGAATTCAAAGGGGCCATAAAATGCAATGAAATACATCATCATTAAAATCACTGTCGAATTCATCGGCAAGCTCTTGTTCTTCTTCATACTCATCATCGGCTACGTCCTGCCAACCAACGCACAGTGGCAGCCATATCTCAGCCAAAGAAATACAACAGATACATTCTTGAAGGACGTGTAACAAAAACAGGACATCTACACATTCTAGTCCTACATTTTCCGACGACGAAATTACAGACGCAAGAGTGCTCCTAGTCGAAACTTCAAATAAATGAGAAAACCTTACTTCCTTAAAAGCATCCTGGTTCCAAAACTCTTCATCAGCTTCAATCTCCTCATCCAACAACTTGGATAATCTGCTCAGTCACAAGAGTACAAGTGGTTTTACGTAATCAAACTAGACTTTTTTAAGTACGAGTCAATGTACAGAGCGTGTAAATATAATATAATCTCCACAAAATCTTGCGCTACTAAATTATCCCATTTTTCTAAGTGATGGTCCACAGGTCGTGACCACATTGTTAAACATAACATAGCCCAAACCAGCTCAGAATAAGACCCGGAAACCCAACATATACTTGTGTCGAGGCTTGTTCCGGGCCTATTCCAGCGGTTGATTGACTATAGAAATAAGAATGGAAAAAAAAAAAAAAAAAAAAAAAAAAAACCTTTCAGAAAAAATTTAAAGATCGCAATCTGTAAGAAATACACTACCCAACAGGAGCTCGAAATTCTAAAACAGAGTCCCAAGAATTTGCTAATAAATTAGGGTTTTCCACGAACTATTAGATGCAAGGGACCCATAACTACTAACAATCCCTAAAACCCAATTCGAACGCAGATTTCTCTTTTGCTTGCAACCAATGTCGAGAAGACCTCAAAACAAGGAAGAAATAAGAGTACCGCTTTCCGCGAGTAGCCCGCGTAGGACGGGGAAGAGCCGGTGCCATCGTTACCGCGCCAACTCCGATTGGTTGACGATTCTACAAGTAGTTCTATGTATGTGCTTCAATCGCAACTCCAATCATAAACCCAGATGCATTAACAGAGCCGATGCATGAGGAGAATCGCGAAATCGAACGCAAAGAAAAACTTTTTGCGCGGTCTTGCGACGAGAAGTGTCGGCGGCGACGACGACGACGACGACGACCGCCGCAGACGCCGCAGACGCCGCCGCGCGGCGATTCTCCCATCCCACATTAACACCCCAGTCAGACACACTAGGGTAGGGTTGGTCTTTGCCGCCTAACAAGAAGAAAGTTTAATACAACAATGTTACTTCATTTGCTTGGATTTGAACAAAAAATTAAATTAAATTAGACCACTTCTTACTTGCATATATATATATATATGTATGTATGTATGTATGTGTGTCTGTGTGTGTATATGAGTGTTATGTGATGGATATAAAATAAATAAATAAATAAATAATCATGTGCATATCAGAAACAATGAATATGATTTTTATTTTATTCATCATATTTTTATTTATTTATTCCTGTTTGATATTATCATTGCTACCTTCACAATTTTTTTATTTGTACTAAAACTCAATTAGTTTTGGTATCACACTATCATCCTCAGGCATAGAAAATGCCTTCTGCATTTAAATATCAAAGCCACATAAAGGAATCATGAACTCAAATACAACATACAACAATTTGATGCTTGAATGTTAATTAATATCTTAATTGAAGATGTGGATGAGTAGTGATGAAATTTTACAGCTGACACTTGTGAGTTTTAGAGATAATATCAAGGCTAAGGATAACAAAGAAGCATTTGTAAAAATAAACAAAAACAAAAAATGTAAAGAGATTTTTTTAATATATATGTATATATTGTTGTAAGCATAGAGTTCTTTTTGGAGCTTTGTGTGGTGAATGTTGAAATATTGCAAATTTTTGTTTTGATTTTATTCTTTTCTGTCTTGTGAGAGCATTAAGTCATCATACTCCAAAAAAAGTAAGAAACAAAGAAAGAAAAGTGTGAAAATAGGGTCATGTATGGTGCAAGTGATAGTTATATTGATTCATTGGCATTCAAACGGCCAATATTCTTTTGTTTTAGATAATCAAAACAATGGACAATGCATGATGATTTTGTAAAGTCTCTTTCAAAATGGCAGTATATGTTCACAAAAACTTCAGACTTTCTTTAAAAGAATCCACATTGAACAGTTGGCCTAAAAAATAAATGAGTAAATTTCAAATAGAAAACACTCATTTACTCACAATCCTTTGTAATCAAAATTGGATAGTACAACAATTTTACGACTTTTAAAAAAAACAAGAAACAGAAGTTTTATAACAATTAAATTATCGTAAATATACATATTTTTATTAATGTACATAATATTTTAGATAGGTACTGTTTTGAATGATTATAACAATAATACCCAGAAATATTAAGACATGTTTATCACACAATATAATAGAGACATGAAAGGCACCCACCCCAACATCAAAGTTAATCCCCACAAGCCACCATGCACAAAAACCCAACCTTTAGTTTAGAACCCAAAAAACAGGTCAGAATGAGAACCAATGAAGGACCTCAAATGACACAAGGGTCTAGGGATGTGGAGCATTGGAGAGTCACACAGGAGTTGGGTGTACACATTGCACAGTTTTATGATCATCTTTTAGCATATGAAAGATCACCCTTGTGCAACAACACAAAATAATATGCATAATCAAATAAACCACCATTTCAGATCCACTATGATTGGTACCATTTAACAAAGGGGGAAATGTGGCCTTCATTTTATGTAACTTAGATATAAATAAACGAAACCCACCTCCAATTACACAAATTAAAAGAATATGTTCCACACAATGAGGGCAAACAAGGGAAGAGAGAGAGCGAGAGGGGAATTGTGGAGGAGAGGGATAGATGGCCATGAATTAGTGCGACACAAGTAATAGTATTAGTAGGAGTAGTAGTAGAAGGCAAGAGAGAGTCGGCCATGGCCATGCCCAGCCAAGGGCGAAAGGGAGGAGGAGCAGCAGGGTTGGTGCCGGGTCTACCGGACGCGGTGGTAGCGCATTGCATTCTGCCGAGGCTGCCGTGGTACGTGCGTCCGTGCATGCGCGTGATCTCAAAGGCATGGAGACTAGTGCTGGACGACGAGGAAAGTGCCTGCTTGCTGGAGTCTCGCACCAAAGAGCTCTACAAACCCCAGGGATTGTTCCTCATCCACGAACTCCTCCGCACCTCGCCGGGCATGCCCGCGCACCACGAACATGACGACGACGAGGAGGAGAGCGAGGGAGGATCGGCCACGCTACCCAGCGCTCGGCTCTCCTCCCACGATTCTGACGACGAGCCGTCTGAAATCTTCCTTCTGCGAAAATATGCCATCGAAATGTGCGACGTGCGTGACGGATCCTGGCATCGGTTGCCCCCGATTCCAGGATATCCGTCTGAAATTCCGTCCAGATGCAGTTTCGTGTGCGTCGATGGGAAGCTGTATGTGATGGGAGGCATTCCTGACAGTACTAAAGCCAAAGATAGCGCCGAGATGCACATGCTTAACGTTGGATTGGTGAGCCTCTCTGTCTCTGTGCGTTTTCTTTCATTTTGTTTTGTTTTTGTTTTGTTTTCTTGTCGCATCCATGTTGACATTTGGAGCATTTCACAGGGCCATTGGTGGTGGGAACAATGTGCCAGCATGCATTTCTCGCGGGCATACGTAAAATGTGCTGCTCAGGGCGAGCATATCTACGTTGCAGGGGACACTTGCCCCGCCGAAGTTTACGATGTCGGTGCCGATCGGTGGCACCGCTTGCCTGACATGGTCGATGTTCAGTTCTTTTGCAATGGGATGCTCGCACTCAACCACCAGATCTATGCTTTTGGCTACGACATCCTTGACCCTGATGTTGTGGTTGAACCAGATGTGTACTCCGCTCAAGTGTTCCATCTCTTGTCCGGACAGTGGAGCACTGCCTCCTTCGCCTTCTCCAAGTGCTGCACCTCCGCTTCCGGCCGCTTGATGCTTGATCTCGTCGACGGAGCCCTAGTTGTCTTCGACACCTCATCTTGCACCTCCACCACCCTCCACGGCACATTGCTCGTGAGCTTCCCCCACCATCACCGTCATTCTTCATCTTCTATTTCTTGATTATTTGTACACATACATATATGTGTGTGTGTGTGTTTATGTGTGTATATATATATATATATATATATATATACACACACAGAGAAGCTGATTTTATTTTTATTTTTTTATATTATTTTGGCAGGATGTGGTTGGCATGAGCAAGGGGTGGAGACAAGAAACGGTGCGCTTTTTTATAGAAAATGACTACATCCACCTCACACCTTGTCAAGTGTTTGATCTTGTAGTGCTTGAGGTTGCTCAAAAACCTCTTCAAGTGTACACTCTGGTTTCTCTCCATGGATCACGGTTACGCACACTATGGCGGGGTATCGTGGATTTGGATGCTTGCAAAGTGACATGGGATCAAATTATCACTTGTCGTTTCAGGCTTTGTCAACTGGATTCGGAGAACCTATCTGAAATATGCTGCATGTCCTCATAAAACTCGTGATTTTTTTGCGACTTAAAGAAAACCATGCTGAATCTGACAACCTTTTATCAAGATTGAAGTAAAATTAAAGTGCTATAAAGATAATAGTTAACCATACTATCTTTAAAATGCTATAAAGCATAATTGAAATGGTTTACTATTAACATTACAGCTTGAGGCAGATTATTCAAGCATTATCTCGAAAAGTCTTCATTCTATATGTTAAACCAAGTTTTTGGATTGTGTTTTGATTTCATTTTGAGCTAATCAATAGATAGATGTATATTGTTCTAAACCATTAATGATGTGTGTCTGTACAGATTCATACGTGAACTTTGTAAAGCTTATTTTTTCTGGTCATAGAATAATGCTTCAGAATGATAATGATACGCTAAGTCCAAAAGATCTGTGGCTTAGTATCACTTTGTCACCTATTGAAGCTTTATTTATAAGCACATCTTCTTTTGTACATATCAAAGAAGAGAAGTATCATTGTTCGAAGATTGACATTCCCAGACACTTCTGTACCATGGTTTTTCTTTGATTTCGTTTGGAACTTGGGAGGAAGTGAGAATATTAATGTCCAGCCGATTCAATCCACCCAACAAAGTTCTGAGTTAGAATGGCAGGAACAGATACCATCGGAGGCACAATTCTAATGATTTTACATAAACGACTTAACTCACGTAGCAGTAAACTGTGACCCAACCTGAAACATCAAAACAAAGTTTACGCTTCCACCAGAACGTAAAACAAGTACTCTTACAAACCTAGTCCCCTGAAACGTTATGTGTCAAAGAAGGTGCACCAGGTACAACAGTCTTAAGCCCAATTCATAAAACCTTTGAGGAGAAAGACTTTAGCAAAAAGAGATCACGGAAACACAGCTTGCATTCATGATGCACCTCATCTTGAAGATGGCCCTCAGTCTTTCGCTCACCTCCACGCAAATCATAAGATCATGACCAAATAGTGTCTTGTGCTCAAATGATTTGCTGCAAAACCTCCAAGTTGTAGGTGGACTGAACAGTTTCTCAATACTAGAACTGACGACAAGTTGACTAATCGCTGGCACAACTGACAATCGTTGCATCGTAATGGGGTGTGTTACATCCCAGCCGAGCCTGCGATATGAGTAATCAGCACCAGGATCGTCTTCTCTGCCGTGTGTTGAAAAGACTTAAAAAGAGGTGAGATTTAAGTTCCGATCAGTCACACACAAAGGTTCACGCTTCACGGTAGTCAATTATGAAGTAATTATCTTCTATCAACGAGGCGTAGTGCGAACTGCGACAGTCATAATCATATCTACCAATCTATAAATCCAGAACTTTAAGAAGAATCGTGAAAGTCACACAGGACAAGTTTTCAAAACGCACAAAACGTGTGCATCATGGCATTCGCCAGCTTTTGCTTTTCACGATCATCATCACTGCTTAATGAAAAACTTGGTCCAAGGCTTCTCGTTGGATTTCGGGAGCGATCTTTTCGCCCCCTCTTCCGATCCGAATTGGTGTAACCAAAGTCAAAAACACTCCTGGAGCTTTCAAAATTAGTTAATGCAAAATTATCACTCCTGTTCTTTTTCAGAAAAGCCTCCGTTTGCTTAACGCGTTTTACTTTTGTCTGCTTTCATAAACGCGGCTCCTTGCAGAGTATCTCGCTGCAATCTGTGCAGACCCGCCAAAATTTCTTCAGGATCCATAAGCTCGGGCCGTAACTTAGGATTCATGAGCTGCTGCGTCCGAGTCGGTCGAGAGACATACACCCTCTCATTTTGACACTCGTAAGTCCAGTGTCCCATCTGAAAACACTTCTGGCAATGCTGGGAACCTCCAACTGCCCCCGCTCCCGCTAACTTCGTTGGATCCTTCCTCACTCCTAACGTCACCGCCCTCTCTGTACTCAACAAATACATTTGCCTCTTCGCTTCCTTTCGCTCCTGCCACCGACTCGGTCCCTCCTCCTTCTGCCCGAACTCATTCACATTCGGCGCCACGGCAGAGGCAGCCCTCTCTGCTTGCGTCCGGCTCAACCCCTTCGCGACACACAATGCCGCTGCCTTGACCCTGTCCGCAGCAGCTGTTGCCGCGTCTGACTTTTCCTTCTTGAAATTCATTTTTCCCAAATCTTCCACGCTAAACTGTACACAAAATCCTGGTAAGGATATTGGTTCTCATGACGGCCTAGCAAAATGGAAACTCAAGCAGCCATCATCGCCGATGCAAACAGAAGAGCATGCAGCTTCAAGGATTAGAAACTATGAACTCTACGCAAACGAGCGCCAAACCCTAACTGCGTCCAGACTTCAAACGACGAAGACTGTTTGAAGGGAATTACTACTGGAAACCCAAAAGCTTCCAGAACAACATGGAAACAAAGCATGGACCCGTTCACACCTGCAGAGTTCGCAAAACCTCTTGCTGAAGACCCCATGCCCCTCGAATTGAAGAATATAATACAATGTTATGACAGATTCAGGTTGATTCCTCTCTGACATTCATGCTGCTCTAACACCCAGTTCCCGAATAGATCGCTCCCTACTTCTTATTGATTAAGGAGGAGGTTGATGTAGGTAGAATGGGGGAGATTAAAATTATAGTTTTTAATTGGGTCCACGTAATGGATAATTCTACTTATCTTCTTTAAAATAGGTATCAGTGTCTGCATGTATGTTTGAATGTTGTATATGAGAACTGGCTTGGGACTCTTGCTGCTTTGTTAGTAATATGTTTGAGTAAGATATTTCTATAGTTTAATAAACAATACCTAGATCAATCAGCATGCAAATATTTCAACCGAGAATCACGCAGACACATTTCATTCATACCATAAAAATGAAATTTAGAAATTTTAAATCATAAAACTTAAATATGTAGAATAACATCAAAACTTATCAAATAAAATAAAATAAAAGAAAAAATGTGTATTCAGAAATTCATTACACCTAATACACATACACATTCTAAAATACTTTAGTTTTACAACCAGCAAATGTGAATATAAATACACAAAACGATATTTTTACTTTAAAAAGAACTGAAGAAGAAGCATAATATTTACCTTGGAAAATGTTAGAAGTATAATTCATGTATTTAATACTTGAAATAATTCTTAAATAAATATTTATCAAACATATATGTGTATATATATATATATATATATATATATATATATCCGATTTTAAAATGTGAATTTTATCCAAATAGGTATTACAAAAAATCTGTATGTATAATTTTGACTAATAGAATAAATATGTCCTTGAATAGACTTGTATACAGTAGTACAAAACACCTATTTTGTTGTCAAAAATATTAAAAGTCCTTCCATGAAATATCCTAAGATTCAATAGATGTTTATTTCTATCTAATTATAATAGTTCTCAATTCTTCTTCAGCAACTGTTAATTATATTTTTTTATACAGGTGTTATGTAATTATCATCTATACTTTTCTGAAAAAAATTTCTAAAATATTATTCAATCATAAATAAAAAAAATTAACAATATATTTTCTTATAAGTTATAGGATTTTTGTATTACTTGGATCTACATCCATACATTAGACATGTCATTAAACGTGTCCCATTTTCATCAAATATTTTTTACAGTAAATAGTTTTATTTAATAATTTATTGGAGAAGAACATACAACTAAGATATTTGTCCTGAAAGCATGTGCGGGATGATATCAAATTCTTAGTTTTACTCTAACTATGTTATGTACTACTGTACACAATTCTAGTCAAGAACAATCAAGGAATGAAGTGATATATCCATAACTGTGGAACGTCTATTTAAAAGTAAAACCTCCAACGTAGTATATTTGAAGCAACTCGGAATTTCGCAACATAACTTTATCATTGCATACCAGAATGCATCCCATAATACTAGGAATAATTTGCAAAAATTATTGATTGTGGTGGTTTTGATAATGAATTGATTCAAAAGTAAGTGATTAAAGTTTTTACAAGAACATATTTCATTCATTTTTTATTCCTATTATTATCTAAAAAAATGTAATAGTTTCTTTTAAATGTTTTTATACATACATACACAAATACAAAGATAACATTAAATGTGAAAATAAGATGTTCATTTATAAAGACACATTAAAGAATTCTATAAAAGTACATAACTAAGAGTTTCTATTTTATTTTTTTATTTTGAAAAATATTAACTTTCTTACATGTAATAATCATCTTCAATTTACATCAGAAAACTTATACATACATACACATATACAAAGATGATTTTATACAAAAATATTTAATGTCTTCATTGTTGAGTTTATTTCTGAAATATATTGCATTATGTGCCGTTGTAAAAATATATGCAAAAAAAATAAAAAAATAAAAAAAATTGAATTATTACATAATGCAGTGATGTATTTTTGTTTTACCTTTCTTATCATTAAATTTTGTATGGGTTAAGTTTAGAGCTTTAGTTTCATTTTAATTTTCATTCGTTTTTTGAGAGATGTAAAACTAGACGAGGATATTTATTAACTTACAAGCATTTTCTTATTCAGGCAAGATGACTAAGAAAAATTATTGCATACTAAAAATATATTCGCATTTCATATATATATATATATATACCATCGCCAAACACACACTTGCATGCTCTTCATTAGTTTATAAGCTGTATAAAGCAAGAAAATGGCTGTGCAAATAGCCTTGAATAGCTCTAGTATGCAAAGAATATCCGGTCAAAATAAGACGAATACCTCATCCTTTTCTTGAAATACATGCACAGTTGTGAGCTAAATTAGGGCTTTCCTTTGAAGGTTGTGTCAACGCTAGAGCATTTGTGTTTCATTCCCACAAGGGGCCCACGTTCTCACGTTCCCATGATGATCAGGAACCATTTCGAGACTGGTCCAGGAAAAAACCTGGACGTAATAATCAGGGAATTTCAAGACCAGGTCTCAAGACCCGGTCTATTCCAAGACCCTTCCAAGACTTGGCCAGGAAGAAGAAGAGAAGCTCCACAGAGCATCGCTTAGCTGATGAATGAGAGTCCACATCCATCCCCAAGACCTTTAGAGACAAGTCAACGCGTTGTCCATGTCAGATAACCACGAGGTCCAGGAGGACCACACTTTAATCACAGCGTGGCAGGAGTTCTTCGTGCATGTTTCCATCCACATATTTTCGTCCATGGATGACCAGATGGTGTACTGTAACTTTATCTGATATCGTTCCTTTTGTTTTGTTTGTTTGCTACCAATAACTGCAATGAGAATCAATTTGATTTACTACTCTTATTTTCAGATACAAATAGAAGATACTTCTATTGCAGTTGAAACACGTTACAATTAGGAATCCAACCAGGTCCTGCCAGGCTATCACCCTCATTTAGATGCATGTTAGATATAAATGTCAGAGGGGCCATGCGGATAAATGATATTATGTAGATGAAACTATACAAGGCAGCTTCGAAGAAAGCTTTCCACAGTGCATCGTTTGTATGGCGAGAGATGGGCAAACGAGGATCAGCCTCGCGGCGACCGCTTCGAGAACCCATTAATGGTCACCTCCACCACGCAAAACAAATGGATCTGGGTTGCTATTTCAGCGCCATGCGGCAGGTGAAAATCCACTTCGGTTGTGTTGGTCTGCGTTGGCACAAGGCGAGGAATGCACGTACCCTCAAAGTCCTTAAATGACGCGCCTCGACACCAGGGAGACGGTGCCGCAGTTTTTGCCATGTGCTCAGATGAGACGGTATTACAACACATTTCGTTGTATTATATTTCTATTTAAAGAAGAAGAAGAGAGGACGAATTGTGCGTCTTCCCGATACAGACCAAAAGTGGTCTAGCTGCGGTCGAAATCGGGCCAAGCGATACCACCATGGTCTGGGAACTGGGCCGCGGGAAGAGGGAGAGTGTGGATTTCCTCTGTGCACCAGTAATTTCGTTTCGCGCTCTCAGTTTCTACGGACTGTGTACTAGGTTATGATCCGAGTACGGACAAAATGGCTGGGGAGTTCCTGATCGGAGTGCAGACATAGTACTTTAAGAGACATTTAAAACACATTTTTTTCCTACACGGGGAATAAAATTGTGAGATAGGTATTAGTAACTACACTTTTAATCCCATCTACAATCCAGTCAACCTATGGAGGGGCTGAACTAGCATAACAATTGATACAAAGTGTCCTGTGTGCCCCAGGCAATCCTAAGAGTCCTTCCTACATAGGTTTTGGGAGTGCCCCTCAGCACGAAGTGCATGGCAATGGGGCATCCACATAATGAATGCCTCTCATTTGGTTGGAAGGACAAGGACCATGACCAATGTTAACATGGAAACATAAAATTTTCTCAAACCACATCTCTAGGAAGTTTTGGCAGATTAGTCAAGCATGGATGGCACTTAGAACTGTTGTCCATTGGATCCTTGGGCGAAAACAAAATGACACATCCTTTAACCAAATTCATTGGCACTTAGATGAACTCTTCCAACGGATATGATTAGGTCTCTTTGATTACTCACGTATTAAATGGGAGATAATAAAAACTCAAGACTAACATTTGCCAATTGTGGAAAGGAAACTTGAGAATAATTTCTATAATAAGTGATGTAGTATTAGGGTCTTCACAACATGAGGGGCAAGTCATTATCAATGAATTCTTACATGGCTCCATAAGGGCTTTATTCTCCAGTTACTGCATACATGAATAAACTTGGACCTAGTTAATAAACTATTTGTTGATTTTATTAGATTGACACACATTACTAACCAATAGCTAATTACTACTAATCATCACTAATTCCTAACTTTGTCATTCACCTCAAGTTGTATATAATTGAGTGATTGTATTATTTATCCATGTAATGAAATCATTGTTCATTTGTACGAAAAAGAAATGAACAAATTTCTTTTTCGTACAAATGAACAATGATGTGCAAATTAGGCACAATACTACAAATGCAATTCAAAGCACATTAAAATTGAGAAAAATTTCTAGAAAATAAATTACTAAAGAAAAGATATTCTATCTTGTATTATAATACATGTAAAAAACAAGGATTGCACAATGACCAATGTACATTGCTATGGTCTCTTTCATCAAAATTTCAATCTCCATAACTTAATAGCAATTTGTAGCTAGCTTAAAGGAGACTTGATGGTGGTTTTATTAATTCTAATATAAAAGCATGAGCATCTTTGGGAGCATGTGTGGCAACACACATCAAATTCAAGTTAATATATTTCATTCAATCTTCAAGTCTCCTATATAATTATGTAAGAACACAAATAACTTTTGATATGCAACAATATATGGAAGGTATTAACTTAAAGTGAGACTTCTATCCAGAGTTTAAGATTTTGTTCTAATTAGGATAAGAGAGTATGTATGTCCATGATCAATGAATGATTCAAATCAAGCTTATAAAGGAAGAATAGATTAAATAGGTAGAATCAAGGCAAATTTGTCTTCATACACAATGGTAGTGAAAATGAGATTAATATGTATTATCATGTTTTAGTTCAACTACTATGTAAAAATAATATATATATATATATATATATATATATATATATATAATTTATTATATAATGTAGTGAAAGTAATGTTATTAAATTTTAATTGATTATAAAATG